TAAAGTTGCCAAGGTTGGAGACCCTTTGGAGCAGGAGTTTCCAACCTTGGTTACTTGAAGCCTGGAGGACTTCAACTCCCAGAATTCCTCAGCCAGCACTGGCTGGGGAATTCTGGGAGTTGAAGTCCTCCAGGCTTCAAGTGGCCAAGGTTGGAGACCCTTGCCTTGGAGAACTTACACCCGCTTTCCATCTGGCAATCATACAGTCCTCTGTTCTCTGAGGGAAGGAGCGCCTTTTCCTAAGCGGTTTTTGAATTTCTGGAAGATGCAGCTTCCCTTTTATCTCGAGGGGGTTCAGGAGGGCTGAACGTCACAGTTGTGAAAGAAATACCTACTGACATTCTGCACCCACAAAGAGAAGCTTGCTTAGAAAACACAACCTGACATAGAACCCCTGTAACAGATTTCCTTTGCCCTTTGGCACTCCCCCCCTCCCCAGTTAAGATGGAAGAACAGGGATAGCCCCTCCCCACCCCTCTTGTTAAAAGAAGAGGTCAAGTACTCCAGCCTCGCTTTTTCTTCCCCTCCCTCCTCCAGCCTTGCTTGCTTTGTGGTTTGTCTCATTAATTACAGTTCTCCGCAGGTTACGTTATTTGCTCGTAAGGGAGGGTGATGCCTCTAATTTTCCTTGGCCGCCAGGCTTCCAAAACAGGTGCTCTGCAATTGTAGGCAAGCCCTGGACTTCCTGGATCAGTGCGTTGCATGGACTGCGGAGTGCCTGGTTACAGGCACAAAGGAAGGAGTAGTTCTCCCAACACGCCAAACTTTAATTGGGGAGGACAGAGAAACCGAGAGACCCAAGCCTTCCAACCCAGCCTCTGGATTCACCCGTCTCCCCTCTCGTTTGAAGCAACAGGGGAACAGGTGAAACGAAAGAGGATTCATACCCGGAACTCTTAAGAAGGAAGGTATGTTTGCAAAAGTACCAGAGTGGAGTGTGTGTTCTGCAGCGCAACGGGGGGAAGAGCAGGTCTCCCAAATTTCCTCTTGAGCCAAAGAAATGACTTCAAAGGTAGGGGCTTCGGAGTCAGGAAGGGTTTTCCAAGGGGTCGCTAGGCTTCCTGAACTGGGGGAAATGAAACAGGCAGCATTCAGCAGGGCTTGCGAAGATGAATAAGAAGCAGGGCAGCAGAGGTGGTGAGAAGCTGGCCGTTCCTACCTGCCCCCCACCTCTCCCTCCACTTTTGATAACGGAGGTGCAAGTAGTAGATGTGGGAGAGGGAGATGATGTCTGGAGGGCACAGTTGGGGTAAAATTTGGCTAGTTGTAAAGGAGATGGTGCCCAGGAGGAATTTATACAAAGGGCTTCCAGCTAGTGACTTTACAAACAACAGATGGGGCTGTAAATTCTGCTTTTATCTGGCCATCTTAATTGAGGTTTGTATGGGTCAATTGTCACAGTTTTTCATCCCTCCACTTTCACCGAAAGATCTTTTGCACATTTAAGAGGAGGAAAACATCCCCCCCCAGAGAACGAGTAAGATTTCTCCATTATACCCCATTTTTAATTCGTTTTTACACAAACCCCTTTATTATTTTTATAAATAACCCAAGGCGGCAAACATTTAATATTTTTTCCTCCTGCTTTTTTCCCCACCATAACAATAACCCTGGGAGGATGGTTGGAGAGAGAGAGAGAGAGAGAGAAATATCTACAAATAGTTATCAATTTATAATAGTTTATTTAGTGGCCGTTCAAAGTTACAACAGCATTTTAAAAAGTGACTTAGGATTGTTTTTCATACTTACGTTGGTTGCAGCATCCCCATGGTCACATGTGCTTGGCAACTGACTCACATTTATGACAATTGCAGTGTCATGTGGTTATGTGATCTCCTTTTTGGGACCTTCCAACAAACAAAGTCAATAGGGAAATTAGACTCATTTAACATCCATGTTACTAACTTAACAACTACAATGATTCACTTAATAATTGTGGCAAGAGAAGTCATTAAATGGGGCAACTTTACTTAACAAATGTTTCAAGTAGCAATATTAATTTTTGGGCTCAATTGTGGTGGTAAGTCGAAAGTCACCCAGACATTATTCAGGCCTAAAGCCGGATTAGACGTTGCCTGCCTTCTGGGTTTTTAGCCTGGTGTGTTAACCACTAGGTCAAACTGCCCTTTTAGAGGGACAGGACATTTTAAAAGAATGGGGTGTAAGGGTATTCCTGGAAAAGCATGACTAAAAATGTGGGGAAAGATAGGCTTATTCCTAATTCCCATAGCGTGTTCCTGGCCTTCTAGGAGAAACTGGGACCATGGCTTCTATCACCAAACCTTTCTCCCCTAGTTTTGCAAAGCCTTCAAATTTATAGTCATAATAAAAGGTGAGGTAAGAACAAACAAAATAGGCCAAAATCTTACCCAAAGCTGACTTGCTGCGGTTAGAAAAGAACTGAGGAAAAAATGACCATTTCTCAAGATAATCACAACCTTGAAAAATATGTAATATTTGGCTCTCCAGATACTGAATTTTAGTTCCCATTGTCTCCAGCCAGCATGGGCAGAGAAGATAATGAGAACTGTATTCTAGCAATATCTGGGTTGCCACAGTTGGTCCATCCCTCTTGCAAAGTACTATTTTGTGCACTCCCCTTAAGAATATACCAAAATGAAAAAATCTTATTGAACCATTTTCTCTTCCTGAACACCATAGGAGATGTGACCTGAAGAACGGATGCTTTTTCAAGTAAATGTATTTGCAGCTGTGCGAGGCTATCCTTCTACAAACTGGCGGTTTTTGCTTGCTGAGATTTTTTTCTTTTTCTTCTATTTCTATACAAATGAAGAAATGTAACATCTCCCCCAACCATTAGACTGGGATTATATAACAATGGGAAAGAACATCAAACTAGCTTTTCTGAAACCATCTTAACATCCAAACAACAAGAGAATTAAAAACTAGTTGAAGAAGAAACTTTGATACCGACAGTCCAGATGTTACAGGTGTGAAATTTGATTGGATACATGGGGCCAACCCCTCGTTAATCAGTTAAAAGAAGGAAAGATTGTGGATTAACCTGTCAAGACAAATATATAACAAATTCCCATAATCTGAAATTGGAACACGGTTTTGCTGACAGACTGAAAAGTGGAATTTTCGTGTCTGTCATTCACTGGCCCTTCTCTGAAGTTTTTTTTCCCAAGTGGCTTTTATTGGCTGGAAACTATGAGAATTTCTGAGTTTCACATGACTCAAGAAAGCATGTAAAATTCAGAAATTTGCTTTAGCTAAGAACTGAACATTGTTTATTTGCTTCAGGAAAGAAAACACAATAATCCAGATATATTTCTCAATTGTTCATTCAACCACATAGTATAACAAATATCCCGGTAATAAATGAGTGTAGATTTTTTGTTGGTGGTGGTGGTTCGTTGCAGGTAATTTCTGACTCTTATCTAGCCCCATTTGGGTCCAGAAAAAAATATTTTTTTGAGGTTTTTTTTTGCTTTTTGATATGTTTTCACGAATGTAAATGAGCTATTTACTGCAAGTGTGAAAACACCTGAAAAAAGAAAACCGGGACTACTTCTCAGGATAAACTATTAGAAAGAATGTTTGGACTTTGTGGAGATATATGATTTTTTTTTACATATGTACAAACACAGACTGGCTCAACCAGCTCTTTCAATGTCATAATCTCATCAGAAGCCTTCGGATGTTAGCTGTCTAGAAGGAGATCAGTAACTTGAGATTTGTGTAGCCAAATCCAGGGTTTAAATGAATTCCTCCATCATAGCCATCAGTGAGAAGGAATAGAAGTTGCAAAAGAAGGGATTATAGGGAGAACTCTGTGGGTTTCTACAGAATTGTTTAGGAAGTGCCACAGCCAAATTGTACATCTAAATTAACGTGTAAGAAGATATTGTGGTTTTGTTATTCGCTTCTACTACAGATGATTTGTCTTTAATGCAGGATTTATTCCATGTTTTAGAGCACTTGCCTTCACCATATTAGGTAGGAACACACCCAGATACCTTTATAGACTAGATTAAAACATATGCTCTAGGTCATTATTAAAATAAGGGCTTAAGCTGTTAATTCTCTCTACTCTGGTACTGGAATTGAGATTTGAGATTAAAAGAGTACACTATTTGATCTTGATAGGATAAAATAGGTGCTAAGGTCCTCTACCCTCTGCAACTTCTTTTTTCCTATTTTGTTCCTTCTACTTTTGTTTTCCACCAAACGAAGCCTGTTCAGGTGGAAAAAAAACAGCTATTACTATGTTGTTTGATTAATTGCTAACCAGCCTAGTCTGTATTCTTCTTTTCTTCTGGTCAGATGGCCATCTAATATCCTTTGAATCAGGGTGGAGGATTAAAAGATAGAACAATAATATAATCAAGGGTGTTGTCACTAATGTAAAAGAATATTAATAAGTACTTGAGGAATCTGTTTTCCTCTCACAAGTTTAGAAAAATATTAGGAACAAGGAGTTACATTAAAGGAATTGTTTACATTAATTTTCTAAGATTTCAAGGCTAGACCAGGAAGAGTTGCTCCTGTCCAGCATCACAAATACTGGCAGAAAGGACTGGAACTCGCTAAAATAACAGGGGTATCCTGTAGACACTTTAAAATTGTGTGTTATGTTGTCAAAGACCATGGCTGGATCCCAGATCCGCTGCCTGGAGAGCGAAGAGCCATACAGTAAAGTAACTGAATCAAATCCTGAATTTTATTATTGTGAACGACAGCGGTTGGCCCTTGAAGCTCTACTTGCCAATGGTGAGGAAGCTTTCAATCAGTGCCTCTCCCGTGAAAAGCTACGCCCCTTTCTGTCGGAGGGTGAATTGCAGGAATTAAAGACTGCAGCAACAGCAGAAGAATTACAAGCTCCCCCTTCAGGTGGAGCAGGGACTTACAGCTTTGGAACAAAGGGATCTAGTCTCAGCTACTGGCCTCAGCGTTCAGATGAACCACCCCCAGAACTGGAACTAGGGTGGCCAGACAATGGGGCTTGGAAAGGAATTACCCGAGCGGAGGTCTATACCCACCCACCAGGAGAAGGAGCACCACATATTAAGGAATTGGTACGCAGCTGTATCCAACAAGCCCACAAGGTATGAAGGAAAGGTAGCACTGGGCATTTTCCTCTTTAAGATGGAAAAAAAGAGTGAGAAAATATGTGGAGAGTTTTAACAAAGCTATTCCGCAGAAACTAGCATATTCCCAAAACGGAGATATTTCAATATTATTGCCATAGAAAAATCTTCGTTAAATTGTCTTCCCTTCCAAAAAGGCAATGCATTGTCAATTTCCATGTGCAATGTAAGTCAGCATATCTGTAAAATAATAGTTTAGAAGCATAAGTATGTTTTTGTTTGAAGAAACTGTTGTACATCATATTTGGTAATACACCATGATGGTACATAACGTCTGCCAATTCCACTTTTGAAAAGTATAAATATTAGCATGTTTAAATGTACTGGTCTGATAACGAGGTGGCTTCTGATTAATTAAAACTATATTTAATACATTAGTCTAGCTAGTAAAAGATACAACCATAATATACAGGTAGTCCTTGAGTTATGACTATAATAGAACCTGCCTATAACAGTTGTACCTTATCCAGGAAAGTCAGTTACAAAAATGTCTGTGGAGATTCTCAGTCATCCAGGTTATGGTTGTCCCAAACCTGCTTTTTCAAACAGCAACTGGGCTTCCTTGTTTTTCTGTGAAGACTTTTTACTTCTCATCCAAGAAGCTTTTTCAATTCTGGAAAAACAAAGTCCATTTGCCTTTTGAAAAGGCATCTGTGGGTCAATTAGAAAAAGAATATTCTCTTAAGTTGAAATCAAAGCCAAAAGCCAAAAATTTCTGAGCCCACACAATAAAATATAAATCAAGTGAAGTACGTGTACCACGGGTGTTGGCAAAGAAGTACGTGTACCACAGGTGTTGGCAAAAACAAATCAAGATGTTTGAATCAAAAGTATTGACTTCTTTAAAACCTCCTCTATCAATGTCCTGATGTGGCCACTCTTGAGTCATATAATTCTGCAAGCTGGATTCGGGTCCACTTTACTGTTATTTTAAGGAGATTTTAATTTGGAAATCAAGGTTGCAAACCTTTTGCTGGTCTCACAAGCAAACTGTTTCTTTTCTAGGTGATTGCTATAGTCATGGACATTTTCACAGATCCTGATATTCTCTTAGATCTGTACGATGCAGCAATCAGGCAGCGGATACCAGTTTATCTTATACTCAGTCAGCAGCATCTTCACTCCTTCCTCTCCATGGCTGAGAAAACTTGCCTTAATGTCCGTCACACAGAGGTGAATAGAGGAACACTTCAGTTTCTAAGCAGCACTCACTGGAGAGCAGAATCTCGGCATGGAATCAATTCAATTAATTATCATATGTTTTGCTTTTAAATGCCCTCTCCCCCAATACACATACATTAATGACGGCATTAACGGAATGTAGGGTCAAGATTTTGTCAACGGAATCTTTAGAATTAATTTTACTGAGCAAATAGTTTGAAACATTGAAGGGTCTCTGGTCAAAACAGGTAGGGGAGTTGAGAATGGATTTATATCACCGTCAAATTCCTAGCTGTAACTACCTTTGATTTTAAATGTAAAGTTGTTCTATTCTCATTGGATTTGCAAAGTTTGTTAATTTGTATTTTTTCAAAATAATCTCCAACGTACTGGATGACAATCCAATTCCTGACTTGGCTACAAAATTGACTAGATAGCCATTGTGAAAACTACCTTATCAAGTTATAGTGCTAATAAAAAGATGAAGGGACCACAGCAAGATTGTTAAATCTGCCCACCCAGTGAGATCTAGTATGAAGGGCTTACTAGGGGTCTCACATTAAGAGAGAATGATATATATTTCGTTTTACTAGTCATAAGCCAATCAGAGTCCTTGAGAATGGAGTGGCATATAAGCCAAATAAAGTCTTGAGTACCTTGAAAAAAGATGGACATGCAAATAGAATAAATATGATTTGCATATTTTAATTGTACATATGTGGTGCATACAATATGGGTACTTTCTTGTATCTCAGCCAATAGAAAAATACAACTGATTTTTTTTTAAAGGTACCATTTTTTCAGGCAAAACAATATGATTGAGCTAAAATGCTCCCCTTTGGGGTACATGTGCCAGATCTTCAAAATCTTTAATTGTGACCTTTGTACAGTGTTTTGATAGTGAATCAATCAGTTGGAGCATCTTTTCAAAAGATACTGTTTTCTAGATGAGCAGAGTTGGTCAGTGACATTTCTTCTAGATCAATTCTAGGTCATTGGTTTTTTATATATATATTAAAAAAACCAATGAC